TTTAGTTGTGTGCTGCGGATTGGCTAACATTTTTCTCATCTGGATTTTTCTTAATATACAGTCATCCCTCACCTATTGTGGGGGTTTATATTCCAGAGACCCCCACGATAGGTGAAAATCACGCCACCTGCTGTGTGGGCCCCACCCAAGTCTGTATAAATTGTGCAGAGATCGGGAATGACTCCAAATATTGTTTTTCTTCAGCCATTTAGGAGCTGTGTAGGATGAGATTCCTCTAGTGGAGTGAGCTCTGAGCCCATCTGGAGGCTGAGATCCAGAGGAAATGTACGCCTGTGAAACAGCCTCACACATTCAGTGTGACAGACACTGAGCAGACAGAGGAAGTCCTTGAGACTGATCTCTGAAGTGTACAGACGCTGAGAACAGCGTGATGCGGCCACGTGTGCAACGTAACAGGAGAGCGCAGGCACAGGAGATGAGAGGTGGCTTCCTCCTCCACTTGCGCAGTCGTTAGTGACGTACAGTATGTACCGCAAAATCCTGCGATATCACAAAAACTCCACAATACAGAATTAAGACAAAACCCACAATACAGTGAAGCGAGGTATAGTGAGGCACATCTGTATTTTTAGTCGACACAAAAAACTTTTGGATTTGGTTTCACTGAGCCACATTGCCACATTTTAAAATTTTCTAATAATATTATTCAATCTTCTTTTTTTGGTTTTTCCCTCTTCAGGGGTTTCCACAGCGAGTAATCCTCCTCCATCTCACTTTGTCCTCTGTATCCTCTGTCCTCACTCCAACTACCTCCATTTCCTCTCTAACTGCGTATATCTTCTCTTTGGCCTTCCTCTTTGTCATTTTCCTGGCAGCTGCATTTCTAACGTCCTTCGACCAATATACCCCCTGTCCCTCCTCTGGACATGTCCAAATCATCTCAGTCTGGCCTCTGTAACTTTATCTCCTAGTTGTTCAACTGTGCCGTACCTCTGATGATCTCATTCCTAATCTTATCCATCCTTGTCACTCCTAAGGAGAACATCAACATCATAATTTCTGCCACTTCCAGTTCTTTTTCATGTCTTTTTGTCCATGTCTCTGTCTCCAGACCATACAACATAGCTGGTCTCACCACTGTATTGTAAACTTTTCCTTTGACCTTTGCTGACACGCTTTTATCACAAATCCCTCCCTGAAACTTTTCTCCATCCACTCCATCCTGCCTGGACTCTTTTTTTTTTTCATTCAATCAACCTTTATTTAGACAGGTAAATCCCACTGAGCCTCGAGGACTCATTTACAAGAGAGACCTGATTTCAACAAAGAATGAAGACAACAATGGACAACAGTGACAACAATAGACAATTATAAAAGGCATATGGATTTTTTTTTTTTTTACAAATAAGATGGCAAAAAGAGTAACAAAAACAGCTAGATTCTAAGGCGAATGTAGAAAACTAAAAACAGGAACATGTCTGCATTAGTCCTTGCCAGGATTCCAACAGATTCTTAAAGCCACTTAGAGAGGTCATGGTCGAGAGCTTCAGGTCTTTTTGTAAGATATTCCAGGAAACAGGAGCAGAGTAGGAGAAGGCCCTTTTGCCAAGTTCAGTCCTCACTGAGGGAACACTGCAGGTAATAATGTCCTGAGAGCGCACGCTGTAGCTGCACTCACGCAGAGACATGTAGGAGGAGATGTATGAAGGCAACAGACCAAGAAGTGATTTAAAGATGAAAATGTACCAGTTGGAGAGTCTGCGTGAAGTTAATCATGTGAAGTTAATCTGTGTGAAGTGACGTTTTCATCTCTACCACACACCCATTTTTTCTGGACAGTGGACCCCAAGTTCTTGAAGTCCTGCACCTTTGTGACCTCTGCTCCTTGTAGCCTCACTGTTACAACGGCCTCCCTCTCATTCACACACATGTACTATGTCTTACTATCCTCATTTTTCAGTGTTCTATGGTTGGAGTAATATAATACAAAAACAGGGTGTGTGCCAAAGTCTTTAGTTACAATATTGCCACCTTGTTATAAGCATTGTCTTTGTCCATCAACCAGTCTTTTTGGGAGAATAACAGAATGAAATGATACAGTTGCATTAAATTTGCTGAAGTACATTTAGTTGGAGGTTGTGGATGCTTTTCAGCCTGAAAAGCTCAGAAAAATATTGTTTTGTTCTCAAAGATCTATGTTGTAACAATAAGAATTTCCACAAGCACGTGGCATGAAATAATAGATTTTATATCTTGTGTTCATACTTGAATATTTGCATGTTTTTGTATTATTCAGTGCCTGAAGTGTAGTTTCAGTCAACTAGTAACATTTCTTTAGAATGACTTCCCCAGTCATCTTAAAGGACAATTATCTTTCTGTTTACTAGCATCATTAGAGGGTTGAGCTGCACAGCTAAACATGTTCTGCTTCATCTGAGAACATCACCCAGTCTGACGCTCATAATTAATGACTGCTGATACTAATCAGTGGGATTGAGCATGCAAAGCTCTTTGATGCCACTCCAGATTGCTTGATTGTCCTGCACAAACCCTGTGTCGTCATTTATGTTTGTCTGAGAGGACGGACAACCATGGATCCTCAATTTAGATGTTTGTGAGAATGTTTTCAAACTACAGAGAAAGTATTTGATAAAAAATGTCAAAAATGCAAGTTTTCTTTAGATGATGATGGTGTTCTTACTTACAATGAAGCACACATTTGCAATTTTCCTTCATATGTTTAATATTGAAAAACTTATTTTGAGTTCATTACTTATTTTTTAATTAATCAATGTGTTTCATGAGCTTATTTATGCAAATATCTTCTTTTTCCCAATGAGAAAACAAATATTTATACACTGATTTCTTTCTCCTTACTTCTGTTTGTTGTTGCAGTTCTTGTCAAGTTCTCTTAAGTACTATTCTTTTATTCTTAATCGACAAATGACATTTTATGATTTCTGTCTTGTCCCTTTGACACAAAGGTAAAAAGATCTCTGACCACTGCCAACAAATAATTTTTATTTTTTTTTTTTAACTGAAGGATGCTTTTTATTCCCCTCCACTCGCCTCCTTCATAAAGGGTAATGGATCAGACAATCACTTTTAGACCGGATCTATTCTGGACCATCAATGTGTCAGCAGTCCTCAAACCATCGCCCTTTTTAAACTATCAATACTAATAGCATCATCTACAGACAATTATTCCCATAGAAGTGCACGGAACAGTGAACAAATCAAAGCCAAATTGGATTATGAATGTAATGCAGTGTAATGCCCCCTCAAGAGTCAATTGATCACAGAGGAGAGACTCGTCAATCGTTGATATCTCATGAGCTGCTCCTCGTAACTCAAGGAGTAAAAGCTGTATAACTGTAACTTTTCATAATTGCTGTAGTTTTTTGTGTCACTTCATTTACCTTTCCCTAAAAAACAATATTTGACAAAGTGTTTCTGAGAAATTATCATGCACTTAGATTTACAGAACAGTATGTCGAGCCCACTTAAGGCTTTGAAGATACGGATGATCTCCCCAAAACAACAAATCATCATTTACCTTGTTAACTTTATGCACCATCCTAGGAATATTAATAATTTATTGCTTCCATTCCAGACTCCATCATTTTCTAAACATTTGAATTAAGGGCTCCTATTTGGGCAGGGTCAATATTCTGTTTGGTAGTCTTATGGCATTCTAGTTAAGGAGAGAATCTTTTCCATTGGAAATTGCATATTTGCCCTTTCACCTGTTATTTAATGGTTACTTTGCTAAAATTATTTGGGGCCACAACGGTTATTTTCCATATGCTATTACTATGATTGGCGTGCATGTTACCACAAATTAAATTAGTTCTTCTGCATTTAAAGATGCTTCCTAATGTCTAATGAGGGTATGTAAGGTCAATATGGACCACACTGAATCTTAGTTTAGATGAAGCAGAATACTTTATGTAATCAGTCTGTGATATGAATAACCTGTGAGTGTTTGTTTCCATAAATGCTTGTTAGTTCATTCATCTTATTTATTTGCCTAGAGACCTAAACCCCTCTTGACTTTCTACTCTTCAAGTTCATATTTGAATTAACAACCTCGTGCATCTCAGTTAAGAATGGCATATGTTCTTTTTTTTTTTAAATAATGTATTTAAATTGAAATAGATCCTACCAGATTGCACAGTCCACTCTCTTCTTGTTTGTAATTCTTCCCATTTTGGGCCTTTAATGGGTTGGTTGGACTGGATGGGATGACGTGCCTATATTTTAACTAATCCAGATGTATTTTCTTCAACCCACAATTAATGAAGAGGGATGAAGCATAACACAAATATATTATAAAAAAAGAAGGAAAAAAAGAAAGCAAG